TAGAAGACATCAATCCGTCTTTTCGGGGTATTAAGAAGAACCTATATTTTGATCAGTTTCCCCACAACATTCAGCGGGAAAACTGGGTGCCCAGGGCACATGACGGCAATTTTCTTGCTGGATCCAATAGTGAAACAATGCCACCCAAGTGGCCTTTCCCCAGCAAAGGACGAGACTTCGCGAGTAGGTGTTCGCAGACAGGCTTTGCGGGGTTTTGGAACCTCTCCCGAACGTCGTACCCCGAATGTGAAACCGAGCGCCGGGGTCGGGGGAGTGTTGTTTCCAGTTAGCGGGTGGGGTCCCGACGTTCGTAGCCGCGGCGGAACATCCGTGCTTCTACGCCGCGACTACGGTAGGCGGTTCAGATGTAAATCGAAAAACAGGTTGCGATTTGGTAGTCTTGTGCTACTGCTACCTTACATGCAGTTATACAGCTTTTCACTCGGATAGATCAAAAGTAGTTCGTTTCGTTTATTGCTCTACACAAAAGTTTGCCCCCTACCCCCCCCCCCCCCCCCTCCCCTGCGGCTCTTGAAAGTTTCGTGGTCTTGTTAGCGGCTCTTGGGCTGGGTCAGCCTTGCCACTCCTGTTATAGACCAACACGCGTCTCTGACGTCATGCCTCTGCGGTGGCGCTGTTGTCACCACGGCGCATGCGCAGAGGCTTCACCTCACGCGAATCTGGTTTCTGCGCTCGCGCAGCGCCCACACCTGGTGTGGCAATCACGGGCTTGTTTGTGGACAGTGTGCCAGTCTATATAGATACCTGGAAAATTTGTGAACACTGCCGCATGCATAATCGAGAAGATAAGCTTCTACGTTCATCTAGAAGATTCACGTACACTTTTACCCGAGCGTAAACGATAAGGTGGCCAGAATGACCTTGCCTAGTCAGTCGAGCCCTAGCTCTTTTCAGAACATTCTAGGTAGAATATTCGAGATGACGAGTGTAGTAGAATAGGAGCCGAGCGGAGTAGTGACTATTTGTTCACTGATTCCCTCTCGCAATAGCCAGCTATTACGCCAAACTGCTGAAGCTTGTTGCTGCCGCCGTCAACACTCGCTGCTGCTTTCTCGACGTATGTTCTTCTTTTTATTTCTGGCACAAGTTCGACCCCCATTAATTTTTTATTTCAAAGCGTTTTCTTCTGCCTCATCGTCTGTCATTCGTGACATTTCTGGTGGAGGTCGGGGTAACGCAACCCTTGAAGCATATCCCTCCAAGCCGCGAGCCCAGTCCTCGGCTCAAAAAGAATTTCCATGGAAACGACCGATACCCAACGAAGCCGCCGTGTTCAAGGTTTGCTCCAGTAATTTGGTTTACTGCCGGCGAAGACCCTTCAGTAGACGAAGCTGACAATGAACAACCAATCTTCGCAGACCCTTGCAGCCGCTCCCATCGCCCGTCACTCCTCGTACGCCGACACCCTTTCACGGCGGGATCCATGAGGACGTCGAGGACTGGATTCAAGACAATGAACACGTGGTACGCCACAACGGATGGACTGCTGAGCAGTACCTGCAGAACCTCTACTTTTCGCCGAAGGGTACTGCGAGACACTTGTTCGAGAACCACGAGGCTTCGCCAACGTCGTGGGACATCTGCGTGGCCGAGTTGGAGCGGACCTTTACGACCCAACACCGACGGCAGCGTGCGTAGTATCTGCTTCAGGCAGAGATTCAGGCCCCCAACGAAAGCGTGAAGAGCTTCGTTCAAGATGTGCTACGCCTAACTCTACTCGCCTACCGTCAAGCCACCGACGATAAAAAGTTGCGCTTTCTCATGAGATGCGTCAAGAGCGACATCTTCGGCGGTCTCATCCGAAATTTTCCAACGAAAGTCGACAGGTTTGCTGCCGAAGCAACAAACATCGAGCGCGAGCCAGCGGCCCGAGTCAACACCTCCTAGACAGCAAAGCCTGCCCGTTACGTCACATGACGTCTCGTCCGGGGGTCCGGCATGAGAACTGATTGGATGCGAGTGCCCGTCAGCGTTCGCCGTAAGGCCTCGTCTCCTATCATAGTCCCACGCAAACGCTGACGCGGCACTCGCATCCCATCAGCGTCTGTGTGGGGCTCCCGCATGTGACGTCTTGTGACGTAACGCGCAGGCTTTAAAGCTGTATAGAACTGTTACCCGAGCTCGCCACTATCATCGGCTGAGCTACGTTTCAACTCTGTAATCGGTCCGCGCTGTGCTCAGCACCAACGCCGTCGAGCTTCGCGACATTATCCGCGACGTTATTCGCAAAGAACCCACGAAGCTACTGCTTCTTGGCAATTCCCCAGCATCGATGTCATTCGCCGAAGTTTTGCGAGAAGAATTTCAGAGAGCCACCAAATCACGGGCTCCTGTCAACCCTGCACCGCCCGAGCAACCGACCCTGAGCTATGGCGCCACGGCCCGACGACCGCCGCCAGAAACGCGCCAGTACCAGCACCCGGCGCTTCTTCGACGGGAGCTTGCCGCATTACGCTAGACGCACTGAGGAACAAGCAATGTACGTCCGAACCGAACCCCCGGCGATAAGAAAGACGGACGTGTGGCGCACGGCTGACCGACGCCCGATGTGCTACAACTGCGGGGAAGGCGACCACGTGTACCGGCGATGCCCCTACCGGCAGCTTAGGCTTCGTGGGTTTGTACCGAACGCCCCCTGCAGGAGGAGCGGAGAGCGACCGCGAACATCGAGAAGTACCTGCATCAACCGCCGGCACCAGCACCCACCACCCACCGGGGATCCCGTACGCCGTCACCACGACGTCCGGCGTCGCCACCACGACGTCCGGCGTCGCCACTTTGACGATCTCACCGAGGGACCCTGTCTCCTCTACCCGCGTCGGGTTAAACTAAGTGCGGTGTCCCCTGGAGGTGGAGTTGCCAAAGATGACTGTTGAAAACATCCTCCAAGAACGTCGAAAGGCCCCCGCTCTAGTGACCACAAGCATCCGAACAACGATTCTGCAACGGTGCCCAACAACCTCAACGTTGCCATCGACGGTCACGACGCGTTGGCCCTTGTGGACACCGGAGCAGAATACTCCGTTTTGAGCCGGAAGCTCTCTCGCCACCTTCGGAAAGTCACGATGCCCTGGAATGGCCCGCAAATACGCACCACCGGAGGACACCTCATCATGCCTGTTGGGACGTGTACTGCTCGCGTCCAGATTCACGGGGAAACCTGTCCAGTCAACTTCGTCGTCCTTCAGGACTGTGCGCGAGACGTCATCCTTGCATAGACTTCCCGTGCTAGATACGGTGCCGTGATCGACCTTGGAGCAAACTGGTTGACGCTGCGAAAGCCAGTCCTACCTCCACAAAACGACGCCAGCAGCCTCCGAGTCATTGCGGACCACGTGAACCTGCCGCCGCTGTCGAGTGTTTTTGTTCCCGTCGTTAGCGATGCAGTCGCTTGCTGGGAAGTTCTTCTGGAAGGCAACGTCCAACCGCTTCTCGGAAAAGAAGTAGGCGTCGCAAGGGGCGCACCAGAGCTGAAGGATGGACGCACTGTGGTCCTCGTGGCGAACTTTCGACAGGTGGCGCAGGATCTCATGAAAGGTGCCGCTCTAGGCCACGTCGAGGAACTCCGGGACGCCGCTGCAATCACCGATCGACCCTCGCCATCTCAGCCGTACAGTACAGCGCCGCCGCAGCTCGACGCTAATGGTTGAAGAAAAAGTAAAACAGCGCGAAACAGAACTTAGGACAAGAAGACAAAGTATACAAACAAAGCGCTGACTCTCAAGAGATTTATTGGAAGGAAACACGCAAATCGACACGCGTCACGATCATGAAAAAGCATCAAGTCACAGCTCCCCGGCATTTGTCAAGCCTGTTCAACCCTGCTGCTTATACACTTCGTCTTCCTGTTTTCTGTTTTTGTCGCTGTTTTACTTTTTCTTCAAACATGTACCACCAACTCGCCCAGCTTTCTACCATATTGCTCGAAGTTAACCCCAACACCAGTGCCGCGGAACGACGACAGCTTGGATATCTCCTCTCTTAATTCAGCGACTGCCCTGCGACGACGGAGACAGGGTGTGGGTGTGGACACCCAGTCGTCACCGCGGCTTCAGTGAAAAACTTTTGAAAGGGTACTTCGGACCGTACAGGGTACTTCGTCGTCTCGGCGAGCTCAACTACGAAGGGGTGCCTGACAGAATGCAAACATCATCACGACGCCGACGACGACCCGAGGTAGTTCAGATCGTGAGACTCAAGCCGTTCTACGCTCGGTAGACTGAAAAGTTTTCGTTTCCGAGGGTACATTTTAGCCTATCACTATTTTGTTTTCTTTTCTTTTGCATCGGGGCGATGCGCTTTGAAAGGGGGGAGTAATGCTGCGCGAATGATTGAGAAGATACGCTTCACCGTTTATCATAAAGATTTGCATACACTTTTACCCAGAGCGTAAACCATGAGGAAGCCAGAATGACCTTGTCTGGTCAGTGTCGTCCTACCTTTTTCTCGAACATTATAGGTCGAATACTGGAGATGACCAGCATATTAGATAGGCAAGCAAACGCCATATAGCTGATTCATTCGCTGATTCTCTCTCGCGATAGCGAGCTGTTAAGCCGACGGACCGTCGCTTGCAGCTGCCGCCGCAGTCGACGCTAGTTGCTGATTTCTCAACGTGCGTTCTTCTTTTTTTCGTTTCTGGCACAAGTTTGGCCCCCATGAAATCTTTAGTTCATTCCCTTTTCTTCTGCCTCATCCTCTCTCATTCTTGACAGTACTACTCCGGCGACTTGCACATCCCCTTGAAGCTTGAGGGTCGCACGTGATCCCTAAAATTCGCCGATATGATGTCTCCCACCAAAAACTGACTTGAAAAGCACCAATATCTACGAAATATTAAACCCGAAAAAAAACGCTTCCGAACCCGAAAGAAAATTAATCCAAAAAAGGCCGAACTTTAGTTATAGATCTGCGGGCTGGGGTCTGCGGGCTGGTTTCTGTATCTGTGTAGAAGTAGAAGGTAAGGATGTGAGACTCACCTGCGCAGCCACACGGGAGGCGTCGACGGCAGCGTCGATGCCAGAGTTGCCGATGCCCACGACGACGACCCTCCTGTCCTTGAACTGTTCTGCGTCCTTGAGGCTGTGGGTGTGCACGATCTTGCCCTTGAACTTCTCCATGCCCTTGAACGTGGGCACGTTGGGAAACCCGTTGTGGCCCGAGGCCACCAGCACTGCGTCGAAGGTTTCGCGGCGCTCGACGTTGCCGTTGAGATCCTTGACGACGACGTCCCAGCGACCGGTGGAGTCGTAGTCCTCGGCTTGTGTCACCCGGAGGACTTCGTGACGAAGGCGTATTTTACTCGTAATTCCAAAATGGTCCGCGTAGCTCCTGATGTACTCCAGCACCTTGGCGTGTTGCATATAGTTGGGAGTCTCTTTGGGAGGCGGGAAATCGCTATGGAAGACGTAATGCAGCAGTTTTAGCCTGTTATTGTGCACTGCGTTATGGGCAGTCTTCTAAACTTTACTGATAAAAGTAATCAATTACGATCATACAAATTTTTGTTCTGGTAGCATTAATTTAGTTTCTTCGATTATTTGAGAAGAAAATGATTGAGCGTTACTTTAAAAGTAACCGTTACTTTTTCGATTACTTAATTTTTATGAATTGACGTTTTGAGGAATATTCTTTTGTAGTGTGTATTGTTAGATTAGAATATCACAATTACAAACTACTCGTCCTCTCAATCCACAAGTTTGGGGTGACCATCCTCCGTTCGGGAACTTGGTTCAAGGATACCTCGGTAGAAACCTTGGTCAAACAAATGCCGGCATCGGGAAGGGGAGAAAACACGCCTCTTCGGGTACGACCTCGGAGGCGAACAATAAGCCAGAATGGGTACAAAAGCAAGGTTTAGGTATTTTAATCTAGTCCACAGCAGCCCGATAGAGCAAACTAAAGTCACTTTCCAGTTACTTCTGAGCATTTAGAGCAGGGGTCGGCAACCGGCGGCTCACATCCGGCCCACTAGGCAGTATCATGCGCTCCCCGGCAATTCACATTAAATGACCCCCCCCCCCCCTCCCCTCCCCGAAATACACTCTCGAGGACAAGGCGCATGTTTAGTTACAAACCCGGTATAAACAAACGTATAAACTTTTAATAATTTCAGGACATTCGCCAGATAGGGTTGGCAAATCAGCTGGTCCCGATAGAACAATTAGCTGTAGCAGACTTTTGCGTAATTCTTTGCAACTAACGAAATTGCTTCTAATCCCTTCTGTGTATTGGACATTTTGATAGGGAATATCTACATATTTTCCAGAATAACTGCACAGCAATTTTCTTACTTATTTACGCATGTTGTGATTTGCTTTCATTCAGTGAGGAAAAAAAACAAAACAAAAATTTAAGGCGCCGAATTTTTTTTTTTTTTTAATGTAAGGAAATATACATTGATGAAATCACACTGTCACTTGCACCCACACAATGCAAAGCCTGGCATTCTTCGGATGCTCAAAGCCTCTCTTCCTCTCGTGGAACTCCTCGACTAGAATTGGTTTTTCTTGCTTTTTTTGTTTGAGTTTGTTAGCTTGCTTGTCCACAACGCGCTATTAAAAAGCGGCCTTTCGGTGCAAATAATTTTGAATAAAGTCCCGCTGTCACCTTGCTTAAATTCTAGCGAAAAAAAAATGAACACAGTCAAAGTCCATTTGCAATGGTGCAGCTGTTCTGGAGCGCCTGTTCTTTTTGTTCCGTTGGTCTTTCTTTGCTTTCGAAGACGTGGAGAGGATGACACCAAACAACGGCGAGCCTTCCAAAAGCTCAAGACAATTACCAACGCAATGGTGGTTATAGTGACTATGATAGCTTGCCACAGGAGGGGACGCTCCGTCTTCTGCCAAAATGAAGTTCAGCATAAAAATCAACTAAAAAAGAAGTGATAAAACTGGCTTGCTGTCCAAAGCATATTTTACACTTATCACTTTTTGGGCATAACAATGTTGTTTTTTTGGTGCTAATTTGAAGTTCAATCTTCTAAAAGCTGCAGGTTGCCTACTTTCCTCTCACACTTTTCGTGCGTCACCTTTCTGTGACCTAAATAATGATGCTAATTATTGTTATAATATGAGCGAACGTCTTTGGTAGAATGGGCCTTAAAGGTACGCTTCAATCATATTTTTCTAAAGGGCCTAGATGGGACGCGTAATTTTTGAAAATATTTACCACAAAACAACTTTCTTTAGCAATGTTTACGTTGTTTGACCCAATTTACGTGGAGAAGGTGGTGGCTGCAGCCCGCTCTACCCGCACCGTGGTTAAACAGTGATCACATCTCTGAATGGCTGACGAGATGATTGAAGCGTGAAATGTTGTTTGTAAATTTGTGTCTCCTTGACGTAATGGTATCTTCATCGACAATTATTTGATTTTTAAGAATCCAATAGTTTACTCGTACACAAATGTCATTTCTGTACTTATATTAAACATGCAAATATGGATGTATAAGGAATTGGGCAGATATGATGAGATACACATTAAAGGTCCACATATGAATTTATATGTGTATCTTTCCATATCGTCCCAATTTCTCGTGTCCTCATATCTGGACAACTTTCTATACACGCAAATTTTTACCTGGCAAATACGTTTGTTTCAACCCCCTATATTGCAATCTTATATGTGAAGCTACTTGCACTTTCTAAGCTGTCTCCAAACCATACACCTCTACCAATCTCAGGAATTGCAGTAGAGATGTATATTTTGTGGATACGTAACTAAAAGATTGCCCTATATAGGTATCTCATTGGTCCTTCTTGGTCAGGTCTGTGCTGCATCATATAGACAAATACCATGTGACAAAGATAAAACTCGCGCAAGAAGAAGAACGCAGGCGAGCTTTTTAGGAGACACTCTGTCAGACCTTATTCTAAGTGGCCAGACTCACATCTCTTGACGAGATTTGTTGACCAGGGAGACAGCCCGGGAATACGGAAGGCACAGAACGTTTTAGCTCTACAGTTCCTAAAATCCAACTAACAAGCACTTCCGGACACCCGTTAATAAAACAATGATGCAAAACCAGTACTTGAGTAACACATGAAAAAACGGTAAAATAAATGAAAGGCGACGCACACACCTCTGTAAACAATACTCAAGTTCCAAAAGTTGATCATTCTCACTCACAGAGTCTGTCCTGAGCGGTATTGGCGGTTACACCTTAGCTTTTCCGTAACGCAGAGCGTTTTCGATACATTCATTTTAAATCAGTAACGGGTAACATAGGTTGAAATGTACAACGCGAGGAGACGGGACAGAATAGGAAGAAGCGCAATCGCTGTGTGTTCTCTCTCTTCTTTCCCGTTTGTTTGCACTGTATGTTTTAATCATCATGCCTTACCAACAGGCCCCAGCATCCATTTTAAATACGTAGGTTACTTATTTCAAGTAACGAGTAGCATTCGTTACTTGTTTCGAGTAAGGGGTGAGATACTAACGTTACTTATTTTCAGTAAGGGCAACATGCTCATGTTATTTATTTCAAGTCACGGATAACGTGGTTTTTCCTTACTTCTTCCTAAGACCTGAAAGAAGTACACTTATTTTTTCGTGTTTCTATACTTCGTTTTAGCTTAAATCAAGACTCAACCAACTCCACAAGATGATGGGACAGATCATAGAGTGTCAAACAGTCACCACCGTGGTGTTCCTGATGTTTCTATACCGGTCCTGTCATCGCTGAACCAATCACAAACAGAAGAGGCCCAGTCACTTGAGCTTTAAAGACTACTTGATTGGTCCCACTGGCTGGTAGCGTCAGCTGCGTCTGGAGTTAAGCAGAAAATAAAGTATATCTCTCAACTCATTAATTATTGAACTCACTCCACACATACATTTTCCTTGCCTTTCCCCATGCGAAAGGTCCCACTGTAGGAAAGCACCAGCACCAAAAATCTTTGTCTCAGAGTCAGAAAACGCTGTCGCCAGACACAAAACGCTATTGCCATTCATTTATAAATAAAATGTAACACATAAGAAGCGTACGTTACTCCTTATCGGTAACGGTAAGGCGTTCCCTTTATTTTCGGGTAACGTAAGTGGGTCATGCCCTTTGTTTGCAAATAACGGCTAACGTACATCGTTACTTCTTTCGGTAACATTTTCAATACTATTCCTCAGTGACCTCTTTGGTTAGTCCAAGCAGTTTAGCCACGCGCATGCTTGCCAGCATCGTCGTTGAAGTCCTTTGTCTTTCCTTCGACTCCAATTGTGCGAAGTTCCCCAGCTGCTCCTCGCCGGCCTTTCATTTCTCTGTCGACGCTATGCCTTTGGCTTTTATTTTGGAGAACTGTCCAGTATCGATCTCGCGTTCCAATTTCGACGTTCATGATGAAATCCTCCCTCTCCGTGAGGTGCGGTTTAAGGTTTCCAACACATTTCTTGTGGACTCGTTACACTCGCGCACGCATGCACAGACACACTGTTCGCAATGAGCAATGAAAACGACGAGGTCACCACTGCTCCCCGGATGCGATGAAATAATGAACACATTAAAAAAAATGTGTAATCATAAACACATAATTCAAAATTATAGACCCACGAAGAGATGACGCGTCTCTACGGCACAAGCATAAACATAGGAGGGAAAGCATGTTGCTCTCTCCTGTAACGTTTGTCTCGTTCCTGCTTCATCAAACAAATCGGTGGACGTAAAGCGACTGCTACCACGCACACGAACCTAGAGCCTGTAATTGCCAACCTATTAGAGTTACCCACTGCTGATTATATCGCGAATGCCATCGATGCATTTTAAGCACGGCACATCAGAGACGCATCCACGCAGGTACACACAGAGTAGAAACGAAAAACGGCAAAGTACACGAGAAAAATGTTTATTTTCAACAACCATTGCAAACAGGATGCAAAACTAAGAAATTATTACAATTTTCTAAAGTTCCTTCCTGGGGCGACACATCGCACGGATTCCGATGGCGCAACGCGCGAAGGAACGTGATACGTATATAAACCTTGACGGCGTGCTTGCGATATAATTAGGGCTCCGTGTTTTCGGAGTTTATTTTTCGTGAAATTCGGAGGGTGTTTTTCGGAGTTTATTTTTGAGCGAAAAGTCGGTGTTTATCGAAGTTTATTTTTCATATATCCCCAATTCTCCGAAATTCGGGAATTAATTTCGCAGTGTTTTCTATTAAAAATAAAAAAATAATAGCCGGATGCAAACGTATGCCAGATAAAAAATAAAACGTGCTTGTATCAATTAAGATTTCCTCAGTTGAATTTGACATTGGAGGTCATTGACAGTACTAATTTGTCCCACGACAAAAGTCGCACACAAATGTTACTTTGATAAACGTCGACACCTTAAAATCAATAAACGGCCAGAGATAGCCACAAGGAAGCTCGTAGTCATCCCATCAATCTATCCCGCTGCTGCG